TGTTAGCCCTGATGAACGAAGATGGAATCGTCAAAACTTCCCGCCATGATATGGAATTAGTAGCGGAAACGTTCTACGTCAACCTTTCCTTTCCACAATCCCCGTCCCGGGCCATAATATCCCCGCTGGAGAAAAGCCACCTGGAATTCTTCCGTCGGAGGTTCGAGGTGCGATAGAAAGCATGAAAAGAGGCACAGCTCCAGGACCCGATAATATCACTGCCGATTTCCTTAGAGCTGGAGGCCACAATTTACATGTACTTCTCGCAGATCATATCATACGATACCTTCAAAAGGAAAAAATCCCAGACTAGCGGAGGACGTCGTGCACGGTCATCCTGCCCAAGAAAGGAGACCAAACGGATCTTCTTAACTGTCGTCCCATATGCTTGTTAAGTGTACTCTACAAGCTCTTCACGAAGATGATCCTCTCGCGCATATCAAGGATGTTGGATGAGGCGCGAGCAAGCAGGATTTCGGAAAGGATTTTGCTGCATGGACCACATCCAAACCGTGTCCAGGGTCATCGAAGTTTGTCGGGAATACCACTTGCCTCTAGTCCTAACTCTTGTCGACGTGATGATCAACGAGTTCAACGAAGCGGGAAAAAGATCGGACTTCGCATAAATCGAAAGAAGATTCATTTCATGAAAAACCCATGGTGCAAAGGCGAAAAAATTGGATTGGATGGCTATCTCATTGCAGAGACCACCTCGTACGTTTACCTTGGGCGATCAATGAACATGGAAAACAACATGAACGGGGAACTAGATAGAAGGAGAGCAGCTTGGGCCGCATTCAAGCCTCTCAAAGAACCCACCGACCAACTGAAGGAAACGAAAATCCGCGCTCATCTCTTTGATTCTACTGTCCTCCCAGCGCTCTGTTATGCTGCAGAGACGTGGGTCGATACTTCAACTACGTCAAGAATGCTTTGCACTACTCACAGAGCGCTTGAGCGATGTCTTTTGAAATATAACCGGCACTCTCAATATGTAGCCGGAATGCGAAGCTCTGACCTTCGAAATCTGTCACATCTTCGAGATCCAGGAGAGTATACATCGACAGCGAAACATAGATGGGCCGGTCACATAATGAGAAGACCCGACGACAGATGGACGAAAAGAACAGTAGAGTGGACTCCAAGAGAGTGCAAACGTCCCCTTGGACGACCCCTACACGTTGGGCGGACGTGTTCGTAAACAAAGTTAATCAGCTGTACCTGCAGCTGCAGTTATTTTACAGGTCACGATATGGGACTCGCAAGCGCTGCCATGCTCGAACAAGGCCACCACCATGGGCTACGATTGCGAGAGAAAGGAACGAATGCCATATGTGCTAGGGTCCGCACAGCTCGTGGAGACGGACCGTCCAAGTATCCAAGTAAGTATAAATGAAATACCTAGATCCAAAAACTAAGATAGAAGAGCTGTAGTTCATTCAAAAACAATGTTCTTGTCTTTTCTATGCTCTCATCTACGAGTTCAGCGGCAAATAAAATGGTAAACGATCCTTTTGGACCACGAATGTTGTTCGTGGAGCGGACTGTACTCTCAACAGGACAAAGGAGAAGTGATGCTATTGCTGCATATGGGTGGCTTCTGTTCGCATGTTTACGTCATTTGGAATTTCAACTAAGCCGGACGTATAATGGAAAATTGATGAAGAAGCTCTTTTTCATGAAGATAATTATCAGACAACACCAGAATGGAATACACAAAGTCATCTCAAAACTTGAAGACATCAAAGTTATCGATTAAACAATAAAAATATATCAGTCAATATCGGTCGGAACAACATAAAAACCTTATGTGCACCGGAATTTCCCACAGAATCTTAATCAGCAAGAAAGAAAACAAATCCAGCAGCAACGAATAAGTGTTGGATGGGCGCCATCTTCAATACTTCGCCTCTACATCTACACTGATTCATTGACGCCTACCCAACGAACGAGTACTCCTTTCTCAGTAATTGCAAATGTTTCTCCTTCTTATTTAACACACTAGCGAAAATACTCATTTTTCTACAACTGCTCTGACAGAAAGTCTGCTAACTGCAGCATCTGAGGACTCGTTGCAGTTGATATAAATACGTAACAGGCAGTGGCTCATCGCTCCAAGAGTCTGCGTAATTCTTCTGGAACGCTATTTTCATCTTAGGCTTAATTCTGCAAGACGTGCAGATTCCAACTTCTTTTTACAGTTAACAAAGTCCATTATGAGATTTGATATTCGTCTTCGATTTCTTCTGCGTAATTCTTCTGGAACGCTATTTTCATCTTAGGCTTAATTCTGCAAGACGTGCAGATTCCAACTTCTTTTTACAGTTAACAAAGTCCATTATGAGATTTGATATTCGTCTTCGATTTCTAAAGGCTATATACGAGAATTCCTTAAAAATTTGTCACCGAGAACATATTTAAGTTAAAAACTACGTTTCCAATATGCTTGAAATAAATTACTAGAAAGGACTTTTCATTAACAGTGGTGTAGGTGTGGAGAACTGCCAACAAGTTAACGATCGTTCGGAAAACCATATGGTGACGGAAACGTGATCAATCACGAAGGAACTGCCAATTGTTGGCCCGTTGTGCTCAGACGAGGACACGACACTCTCAACAAAGCTATCGAGTTTCATACGTGAAGAAATCACCAGTCGCTTACGAAATGGAGAATGTGTTGAGAAATTCGGAGACTGACGACCGTGTATCTTCAGCTGTGCATAAATTAAGAAAAAAGTACGCTCGATTTGGTACCATATTTGTCAAATGTCTCGATAAATAGCCAATCAGATCCAAAAATACCGCTATAGCGACTCGTCAACAACACTGTCAATGTACGGGAAGTACGCTCCGATAAGCTCACACTAGCCAGAAACAACACGAAGAAACTTCAAGTTTGCGTTCAAAAAAGCTTAGAGTCCAGCCCACAAACTACCCACCGACTAACCCTTGTCATTTTTCTGCGTCAGAAAAAAAGGAGAAGAAAAGAAGCTTTGCATGATTATTCTACTTCATGCTTAAGACATAGTGCCGTTTTTGAAACTAACATAGAAATTGCGCTATGCCCATATTCTCGTTAAATTTTGAAAACCAAAGGCAATCATTCAGAGAGAAACTTTATGCTATTAAGTGTTGGTCAAGGAAACAATGGAGTTTTTCTTTATTTGTAGTTACACATTTAACATTACTGAATATTTCGAAGCACATAAAGAATTAAAAAGAAAACGTGTGCTTAGAAATGCACAGAATCTATTCGCCGTTGTTCCATCGGCAAGACAAGAGAACAGCTCCACGCATTCGAATGCAAAAAACAACATGTGTAGCCTTGAGAAAAGAGAACGGAGCGGTGTTGTTGGACAGAACAACGGGAGAGCAATGACGGACGACCGGCGGGCGCTTGGTTGGTTGGAGGGGCAATCGCGTGGAATTGCCCCAGTCCATCAAGCCTTTGAGGACCGTTGGGCGCACCGTGGCGCATCCATAGGCCTGGCATTCAGCTGCCGCTTATCCATAAATAAGTTGGAATCGCAACCTTTCCTGTAACTGGTAAAACTCTCATCCATCGGATAAGCGAGTTACAATCAGAACGAGGCGAACAGTTGAAACGCTGCGCTTTGTTACCCTGCACCATGTCACCATCAATATTTTCCATTTGAAGATACTGACGTGAAACACAATAGCTCTGCGGTATTAAACTGGAGCTGTTAAACCAATAGATTTCTATCGCACAATTTTATACCCACGGTGAGAAAGCGTTTTGAAGGCAAGAAGTGTTGACTTTAAAGCATCCTCGAATGAGGATCAATATTTTGTGGAGATGACCGCCAACCACAAAAAAACCTCTGTGCACTTTTACAACAGAACAAGCCAAATGAATTCATGGACCGAGGGGAAAGAAAGAAAGACACCTGGAATTTCGAATTGACGAAGTCGGATGTGCACATTGGCCGCATTCATGCACGCCGTCGGTTCCTTTTAATTTGCTATAATGGAAAATAAACTTAGCGAATATCAAAGACAAATGAGAAGAAATGACAGGAAATGCGATGAGTTCCCTTCCTCAAGTTCGAAAGATAAGATTGAATGTGAGAAATTGATAAAGGTTTAGGAAATAATATATCTATGAGTTTAACGAAGGGCAGAAGAACTGCTCAATAATACCTTCTTGGAATATTAAGCTAATGCGAGGTTGATAAAGAAAAAGTTAAAAAAAAAGATAAAAGAAAAATAAAAGGCAAAGATATAAGATATATAAGATATAAAGACAGACAAACAAAAGATAGAGAAGTCATCTAAAAATCCTGAATACTAATTTGCTACAACACCACAAATGCTATTCCTATTCAGCTAGTTTGTTATTAAGTAGACACTTTCGGTGTTTTGTAGCCCCACCCTGAAGGCCGCGATTCCTAGCTATCGATGTGTTCCCCAGCAAGGTCATCTAAGCAGACATTGAAGCTATATTTCCTCTCAGGAACTCAGCTTGCAGTGAACCAATTCCACGAATTAACATCAAGCATGACGATAATCACCCAACGACAACTTTTCCATTGAGCTATAATGGATAGTAAATCCCTTGATGAGGACTTGCTGAATATATCTAACACGCACAAGCACCAAAACACTAGCCAGATGGACATTCTGCTCAAACACACGCTATCTGGATCTCATTGGAACGGAACAATATTTGATTAAGAACCAGATGTAATGGCTCACATGCGCCAAAGACAGCTGGAGAACGCATTTGAGGCTTCGTAGAGAAAGGGCTTTGAAAGGAGAATCGTTTTTGTCGCTGAAACTCACAAAGGTTTTAAGAATAAGCCTCACTGAACTGACCACTGATAAAAAATTTCTTCACCAATCACCTGTCAACTGTATCACCTATAGTCCCGTTGATCGTCGAGTGACTCTAGCGGGCGCCAGTAAATCTTCCATATTTCCCAGTCGCAGGCAAGAGTGACCCAGTGGGTTCTGCTCGCTCTAGGGACCCGATGAGCACCCTATCTTTCTTCTACGCTTTTTGTGAAGAATTCTGACCATAGAGTCGGTGGTCTTCCTGCAGTACGTTTAATATCCTGAGGAATCCAGTCACTAACGGCTCTTGTCCATCGGTTGTCATTCATACGCATTACGCGTCCGGCACACCTTATCTTCGACTGTTTGGTGTGCAGAACGGCACCTTTGATTTTTGATCGTTGACGCAGAGCGGAGCTTCGGAACCCATCCCTTACTTGTGTGGAAAGGGAAACTCCTAGCATCGTCCCTTCGACTGCGCGTTCGATAACGCTGAGTGACCATTCATCCTGCTTAAGCAGCGACCAGGTTTCTGAAGTATACGTTAGGGCAGGGAGTACCGTTGAGTCGAAAAGGTAGGCACGGAGTCGGGCGTTCCTTGTCCCTTCACTACATTGTCGATGCTCATGAAGGCTCCCCAAGCCGCTCGTGTCCTTTTGCTCAGCTCTGGAGCTAAGTCGTTCATCACATTGAAATCCCGACCTAGATAGCCATAACTGGAGCCATTTGGAAATATTCGTTCCATTGAGCGTAAATTGGGCATGCGAAACCAATCCGTTCCTCATGAACATCGCTTTTGTGAGATTTAGCTGAAAAACAATCTTTCCATAGGCTTTATTAAAGTCGTCAAGCATACGTTCCGCTTGGGTAATGTTTGGTGTTACAAGGACGATGTCATCAGCAAAGCGAACATGGTGTAACTGCCGACCATCGATTTTCATTTCCATATTATCCCATTCCAATGTTCGCATGACGTTCTGGAAGGCGGCGGTAAATAATTTTGCCGAGATGGCATTGCCTTACCCAACTCCTCGACGTCAATGTTAATATCGTTGTAGAATGGTGATACCTTGGTTGTGAAATTTTTGTACAGGTCACGAAGAATCTTTCTCTACTGAGTAAGGACTCCTTGACTATCAAGGACTTCCAAGATTGCTTCTATCTCAACTGAATCAAACGCCTTCTATAAATCGAAGAAAGTGAAACAGAGCGGTCTTTTGTACTGTCGCGATACTTCAGTGAGCCTTGTTCCTGTGTGCATGTGGTCATCATATTAAATCCTTTTCGAAATCCTGCTTGCTCATATGGCTGCCCTTCGTCTAGTGTTCTGTCAATCCTGTTTAGGATGACTCGAGTGAAAAGTTTGTAGACGACAGACAGTAAGCAGATTGGGCGATGGTTGCCGATATCGTGCAGGTCACCCTTCTTAAACAATAACGCGGTCTTGCTGGTCTTCCATGTTTGATTTTTCAGCGACGAAATGGCATGTCGGATTTCGGAAGGGAGAACCGATGGTACAACATATCCATCCTCCTTTATTTCATATGACGGAAGGTGGACGTGGCTATCGAAGAGATACGAGTAATATTCGTGAATTATTTTCTCCATTACCTTTCTGGACGCTGTAACTGTTCCATCTGGGCGCCGGAGTGTAATCACTTTGGTCTCGTAATTGGCGGAGCTTCAGTGGGCTTTGCGAATGTTTTTTCCAGCCTTTGCAGCCTCGACCATTACTGCTGCTCTTCTCTCTTTAAAATCTTCTTTTAACGCCTGTCTCCATTGTTTTGTAAGTTCGGACGTTAGTTCGCGGTTGCCTGCAGCTCGTGCGATTCCACGCTGGCGTATCAGCTCGAGTGTTTCTGGAGACAGACGTCTCTTGGTGACTTTCGAACTCTCAGCTTTCATAGCGCTAACGTGAAGATGTTGAATGAGCCGATCGTACTCTTCGTCAAGGTTATCGACAACGGCATCTTCCCAACAACCGACTAATAAATTAAATAAGTCCCAGTTTGCGGTGGTTCTGGGACTTCGGTTATGGAATTTGGGGGTTTTTTTCTCCTTTCCGCGAGAAATAGAATCTTGCACGAAGGAGAGGATGGTCTGATCCCGTGTACAATTTTGAGACAACAGCGATATCGGTTAGGCAAAACCTATTTACTATGATGTGGTCTATTTCGTTATGATACTCTCCATTGGAAGACTCCCACCTCCAGGGCTGAGAGTGGGGGCTTCTGGAATTGCGAGTTACCGTGGATGGTCTTGGTCGCCATGATAAACTCAGACAGCCGCTTACCCTGTTCATTCCATTCTAATCCGTGGGTCCTAATGTGACGTTCTTCAGACGTTCTTCTTGGTCCAGTCTTGGCGTTGAAATCTCCAATGATGACCTTAAAGAATATGAGGTCTTCTCTCCAGAATTTCTCTAAGTCCATATATAATGCTCCGACTTCTTCGTCGTCATAGCTTCATGTCGGCGCGTAAACAACGAATACTGTCAAAGCCGGTATTAATCCACATCTCTTCAATCGTAAACGTCCGACTGGAGTTGTTAGTTGCTAGAATGAATCGATGTTCATGGATAAACTCGTGTTGACGAGAATGCCGACTCCTCTACTGTCGCATGTTCCGAGGAACAGTTCTTCTCCGGTGTCGAAAACGGCATTGGCATGGTGGCGTCGTCTCGTCTCGGCCAGGCCGATGACGCTGCACCTTATCCTTCTTGCTTGCATGAGCAAGCCCTCTATCGAAAACTCGGATGCAAGTGTACGTGCATTGTAGGTACAGACTATCACCTTAGTTCTTCGCGATGCAGGCAGCTTCCATTGGCCCTGAGATTTTAGCAGCCTCTCCGTACTCGTCCTACCCAATGCTGCGAAATTGGGGGCTCTTTCGGGGTCAGGGGAATGAGGCCCGTTTTTTTTTACTGTGTTTGGCACATTACTGTGCATTACTGTGTTGCTCGGCTCTGAACGTGGTGGCTGAGTATACTCACGGGTAGCTTGCCAGGCTCTCCCAGAGTGGACATAGAGCTCATTTGTTGGAGGCAACTCCTAACCGCCTCCGATATACTTCCCAGTCACTTGATTGCAGGCTTTTGGCCGAATTGACTCGTAGAATATAATCCGCATAAGCAAGAACGCACCCACACACGCATGCATGAATACGCCTAGCAAATACAGAAAGTATGCGCCAAATCGGCGCAGCAGAAACGGTGAGTCTATGCCCTGGATTCACATGCGTCTCAGAGAAGCAAAGGTCGCTTTTGGTCCGCGATTAGCCCCCTACCCGCCACCTGGGGACGCGCCACGTAGCCTCGCGACTAACCGGCTGGAGATCCCTCATATGAAGGAGATCCGTGGTCTTCACCAATAATCGGTCAAATCGCTTTGTGCAAATGATTCAATAAAACTAGGATTAGTTAGCATGTTTTTTATACAGAAATTTTTCATGTACTGCTTAGGTTCCGTTGATACGTGACACATGACAGTGCATCATTAATTTCAAGAGACTTCTACATCTTAGTCCAAACGCCGTGTTAAGCTCCATAAATTCCTTTAAAATGACCAAATCCACGTTTAGAGAACAATAGTGGCTCCAAGTCGAACTTCAATAGCACCACGCACCAAAAGCAGGAAAGTAGAGATGCCAAAATAGTAAATTTTAAATACGTTGGCAAACGCAGTCTACGACGTAGATGAGGGAAATAAAATTCGTAGATACTCGGATGACACATTTCAGAAACTGTTCGAGCGCAAGCACAATCTCTACTACAACGGTATCTTGATGGATACGAAAGTCCGTTCCTTAGAATTATGAGGCAATCATATATGAAAGAGATACTCAGGTCGAAAAGAGATGCAAGCATTTTTAATTATGAAAGGACATTTGCCGATTACGATTATTCAAGGAAAGCGGCCTCCTTAACCTTGGCCTACTGATCGTTGTAGCTGGGAATAAAAGCGTCAAATACTTTAGATGCGCTATGTTTAGGTGATGATCGTGTTCACTGCAGTTGAAACAGAATTTCAGAGGAAACCTTTGAAAATGGAAGGGTGAATGGCAAAGTTTTCTAAAATTTAAAAAGTTCTCCAATTTCATGTGCTGAGGTTGGGAAGCACATAAAGAAGTGGAGCAAACCAAAACGGACAACTATGTTTTGTAATTCTTCGTGTTTTTGTTGAGCAAACGCGAGGTGCGAGGATAGAAAGTGGTTATTATTCTTTATTCACGAATAAGCTGACGTTTCGGCGGATTTCGCCTTCCTCAGAGCTTCGAAAGGTCAAGTTGATAGCAATCTACTCGGCCAGACGCCTCCATAACCAAACGAGGAAACTCTAAACCAAGATTTCAATCACGTTGAACACAGCTTTGCACACTCACCGCTTACTATGAGGTTTCCATTAAGTATGTCGCGTGAAGTCCAACCACACAGAAATCACATGGAAGCATAATGTGCCCCTCCCATCAGAATAACAGTCTTACATACTGCCCCCGTGATAATGAGGCATTCTTCCCTGCGGTTCATTTTCGGATTTCTGGAGTTAATCCAGAATGCCTCGAGAGTTTTTCGCGCCTGTGTTCTTGATTCGCGTGCTAGGATCGTGACACGTACTTCAAAGTCCTCCCCGCTAGCTGACGTTTCGGCAGTATCGCCTTCTTCAGAGCCTGGAAGGGCATGCTGATATACAATCTACTAGGCCAAACGCATACCCAGTTGCTTAACCACATTCCAGCTCACCTCACAAACACCTAAATGTTCCTAGAACGTTTACGTAACGCGTCTCCTAAAAACGCGTACGTGATGGAGTCTTTCGACGTTACCGCACTGTACACCAACGTGTCGAATGACTCCGCAATGCAAGCCATACTTGAACTCCTTATGCAACACGAAGGAGAAATAAATATGTATGGCTTCAAGATAGAGCAGTTGATAGCACTCTTAAAAGAATGCTTGAGCTGCTCAATCTTCAGATGGTCTGGAAAGTACTACGCTCAAATAAGAGGGTTGGCAATGGGACAACGACTGGCTCCAAGCCTTGCCATTGCATTTATGTCTAAGGTGGAAGCACCGGTGACTGATCTCGGGCCGCTACTCTACTGTAGGTATGTAGACGACTGCTTTGTCCTTTGCTCAACACAAGAGGAAATGGACAAATGTTTCGAATAGTTAAACGCACAGTCAGAGTATATCAAGTTCACCCGAGAAAAGCCGAAAGAAAAATGGCTTCCACTTTTTAACGTACAAATTCACCTGTCAGAAAATGGCTACATTACAAAGTGATACCGAAAGCCAAGTAGTAAAAACATCTTGGTTCATTACCTCTCCTCTCACCCCTCTCACACGAAAAGGGCCCTTATAAGAAACATGTTTCGAACAGCAACCAACGTGTGCACGGGAAGAGAGCAGAGAGAGGAGTCCCGGAACTTGGCACGGCAAATAGCCGTTTCTAATGGCTACGAAACTGTAGCTCGGAATAGGTGTAGGAGAAATCCTAGGCCTCCAAACAACTTCTCTAGCGAT